TTTTCTTTTGTCTGTTTTTTATACGAAAAAACAATATCTTTTAAGATTTTGGTTAAAGCAGTTTTACCCCCGCTAAACAGTCCAGCTTCTCTTAATGATTCCAAAAGCTTCTTCTTGTTGAGATATTCATTTCTGGAATAGTAACCATATATATGATTTCTGATTGCATCGGCGTCAAAGGTGTCAATATCTGTCACGGGTTTAGTTCTACGTTTCTTCTTCGGAGTACGTAAAATATTATCTTCCGTGCCAGCAGAGCCGAGATTTCTTTATTAATCTTTGTTATCGTTCTTTTGCTAACTCCAAGCCCCTGAGAGACGCGTTCTTGTACTAGTTCGACAGGTAACAGGGGTCCGCCATTTTGCCGCTCCCGCTCAAAGTAATCTTGCAGCTTGATGATTAACTCACGGACTCCACTTTTCAATGTTTGTCCACGTTTAGGCATTATTATGCACCAAAGGTAAAAAGAACGCAATACAAAACACAATCGAAGTCCGTTTTAGCGCCGATGTAAGTTTGAAAAGCAGAAACATTCCATTAAACGAAAGCCGGGTAATCAAATAAAAACAGATCGAAAACACTTGAAGAACGTGGTCTATGAGCACGAAACGACAACAGACGACTGTTTTAGCGTCACAAAATGGCGGCCCGTAACGCCATTTGAGGTTACCATTTTCAACCTAAATATAAAAATGCTACTTTCTTTCGCGCATTCGGTTTGGTCGTAGTTTTATTTTTATATTAAATAAAAGTTATCTTGTAGTCCATTATTTTCAAATTCTTAAAAAGAAAAACAAAACGTATTATTTTATAAAGTATAACTGTATAAGAACAGATTACGATACTGTTATTGTCTGTTATTGTTAGCACAGCACTACAAATATAAAGCGCTGACATAACCTTGTAATAGCGCAGTATAGATTTAGAAAAATATTGTTTACCAAGTTATTTGATACTCAGTTTGGTTACAAAATTATAACATTCATTGATTATTGATATAATAATGTTGTTTTAATGCACATCAATTGTTAAAACGATAAGCAACCAGCAAAAATATTTTTATCGTAACTGCAACGCCATTACAAAGTTACGTCGTCAGTTCAATCGCGACGTGTCAGGAACGCATTCTCTGAACGGCCGAACTATAATGTAATTAAATGCTTATTTTGTTCATACATTTGTTTATACTTTGTTTGTTATATAGAAATAATTATGAATATAAGTGCCCTAACCTAGATGTAGTATAACAGATTTATTATAATATGCAGTTGATATGATTTAGAGAAATAGGAACAGAAACTAATTCTGAGTAATGAGTAAAGAAAATAAAACCTTAATTTAAAATAGAACTGGTGGTTTAAACACAAACTTAGGGTCAAAAATAATTCAAGTCTGTGATGTAGTTGGATTCAGCCACACAGACATGACAGTTTTCATTTTGAGTTTAGAATAGTATAAATCAACTTAATAATATATTAATGTTATATTTTTATAAATAATTATATCTAAACAAAAAATATAGTATACAATACTAATATATAACCATCACTCATTACATAAATGCCAATTCACTTGATTTAATACACCAGCAATAACATTTGATCGATTAATTGATTATTGAGATTATTAGTGTTAATGTAATATTATTATCTATACGTTGATTTGTTGTTTCTAAATATTTTTCAGTGTAACACACCTTCCATGTTAATGAGAAATATTACTGTATACGTATTGTTACGAGCTTAGGGTTCGTGACAATAAAAACTGCCGATTGAATTACCAAAATTGACACTTTAATTGCCGAACACCATTTGAAACTTAAAACACAATAATAATTAATCGCACTGATCACTTTAGTTCACTTTATTTCGCACCGAAGCTTCTCTTGAATCGCCAATTCAATACTGCCTCGGTCGCGGCCTAAAAAGGCTTTATATAGGCCTTTTCCACCGAAACATCTAGAATGTTACAGCAAATACCGGTCCCGACCGAATAGGTGTAGAAAATTCGAGTGTGGAGTTTTCTAGTAAGCTTAGTTCTTCTATTTTATAATATATGGCACTAGTGCCATGTAACATGCATCAACTGTAGCGCGTAACACTGCCCCCTCCTAAGACATGCCCGTCCCGAGCATTATCGGCCCCAAAATAACGCGCCAGTCGATCCGTATGGACTATCTTAGGAGTACCTCTTGCACCTTTTTGTATCCGGTAGGTTACGCCTTTTATCCTTGTCACAATTCGGTACGGGCCGTCCCATTTAGCTTGAAGCTTAGGACATTTACCTTTGCTGTTGTGGACTGGATTGTGCAACCACATCGTCGAACCCTTTGTTGTTCATTTTGCAGTCATACCGGGTTTTCATCTTTTCAGACATTTGCTGGCCCGATTGTCTGACATGCTCATAAATGTCATCTATTTTGTTCCGCAATTCATTTGCAAAATCGGTTATACTGCGTGGGGCATCAGGTGGTATCCCGGTGGTGAACGCTGGTATCACTGATGTACTTTCGTGAATAGCGCTTTGATATGACAACAAAAACGGTCGTATGTGCTTGTCCCAATCTCGTTGCCGATTGTCTACAACTTTTGCTAGGTACCTCTCCAACGTCTGATTAAATCGTTCTACGATTCCATCAGATTGCGGGTGGTAAGAAGTCGTTCTTGTTTTATGAGTACCCATAATTCGGCAAGTTTCCTGGAATATTTGAGACTCAAAATTCCTTCCTTGATCGCTGTGAATCTCTAAAGGTACTCCAAAACGACACAAGACTACATGAACTAGTTTATCTGCAATTGTTGAAGCTTCTTGATTTGGAATGGCGAAGACTTCTGGCCACTTATTGAAGTAATCCATCACAACCATGAAATACTTGTTATCACTTTCACTTTCCGGAAACGGCCTCGCCACGTCAATGGCTATTCTCGCCCATGGTTCACCAACATTTTACAAATTCAGTGCACCTCTAATACGAGTCTGCGGTCCCTTTACAGCCGCTCGCCGCTGTACATTTGCGACACCAGTCATCAACATCGTTTCGGCAGTGGACCCAGTAAAACCGTTCTCGGATCTTCAGTAGAGTTCATTTAAGTCCCAGATGGCCTCCTGGACAATCATTATGGTACAACTGTAGAACATCCAGTACTTTAGCTTTAGGGACAACCATTTGCAAATGACATCTGTCTCCCCGACCATTTTCCCATTTATGGCACAGAACTCCATCCTGAATCAGTAAGCTGTCCCATTGGGCCCAATAGCTTTTCGTGGTCGAACTCATCGCTGAGACGTCGCTCCACTTGGGATTGGGGGCACTGGCCTTCATCCATTCCAGAATGGGCTTGATATCCGAATCTTCCTGTTGTGCATGTTGTAGGTTGTCCTTCTACTTGCTGCTGAGGTGGCCTGTCCTGAGCATCCTCACAGATACCACTTCCTTACCCTCTTGCCTAGTACAATGCTTGCATGCTTGAGGACAAGGTCTCCTTGACAATGCATCTACGTTGCCATGAGATTTCCCGCTGCGATGTTCGATCACAATGTCGTAATCACGCAGTAGTTCAATCAACCTCGCAACTTGTCCTTCTGGATTTTTGAACTGCAATAGCTATTTTAATGCAGCATGGTCAGTTCGTAAGTGAAATTTCCGCCCCAGAAGATATTTGCTAAAATGCTGCAACGACTTTACCACAGCTAGCAATTCTCGTCTTGTGGCACAAAAGTTCCTGAACAATGACTTGCTGAAGTACGCTATTACAATCTTTTGATCACCATTCCGTTGAGAAAACACAACGCCAAGTCCTATATCACTTGCATCTGTGTCAACTATAAATTCCTTGCCTGCATTAGGGTACCCCAAAATGGGTGTTTTGCACTCCTGTCGGCGAGCCTGTTCCTCCTGCTGCTCTTTCATCCAACGGACCTGTTCTTCCTGACGGCGCGCCTGCTCCTGCAGCATCACCATCAGAGCACCTAAGTAAGGTGCTGCAGATGCGGGAGCTACTGATGGGCCGGCCTCCGTGGCCTGCGGCTGGCCACAAAATCGTCTCTGGTCCGTCTCCTGCTGGCGTTGACTTCGGGAACGGACACCCGCCATTTCGTCCTTAGGTAAAATCGGCATGATTTAATCCCACTTCTGACACCAATATTTATGAGGTTAGGGTTCGTGACAATAAAAACTGCCGATTGAATTACCAAAATTGACACTTTAGTTACTGAACACCAATTAAAACTCGAAACACACTAATAATTATTCACACTTTAGTTCACTTTATTTCACTCCGAAAGCTTTGCTTGTATCGCCAATTCAGTACTGCCTCGATCGCGGCTTTTAACGGCTTTAAATTGACCTCTTTCACCGAAACATCCAGAATGTTCCAGTAAATAAATTTGAAAAAAATGTCAAATTGAAGTGGTTGTGTGTACAAGTGCTGTTGATGATTTGGTACCAATAAATTCAAATAGTGTGTTCCATGTTATAAAAGTACAATCAAGATATGAGGCAGGCTAAAGATGTTTAGTGCTAGTGTTTTCTCACTGTAATTATAAACTTAAAGTGCAAAACTTTGAAAAAACTATTCGCGTGAATTACGAACTTTTAAAATCTACCTTCATAATTTTATATATTATTTATATTTCCGGTTTTGTCAATGAAAGCGAACTATAGACAATAGTGTTGCCATTACAAGAAATTTTCTACTAAATCAGTAAAAAAATAAAAAAAAATAAAATGAGTCCAAAAAGCTTTAAATGTTCTAAATGTAGCAAAACCACAAACGACAAGAAGCTATCAGTAAGTTGTGACTCCTGCAAGAGCATTTTATGTGGTGATTGTCATGGAATGTCACCAACTGAAGTAAGAGTGTTCGAGTTAAAGACAATAGCTCGAGTGGTTTCTTTCTTATGTGTCGATTTGTAAGTCACTAATGGCACAAATACCAAATATAATGAAACAACTGGAGGAACTTACTAACGAAGTACACCACTTGCGATTACGTCAAAACATGCTTGTAACTGAAGGAGCAATACAAGAATTGGCTGAGCGCACTAAGAGAGCTAACAATATAATAATTTACGACGTACCAGAATCAACCTCGGATAAACCTTTACAAAGGCAGGAGCATGATAAAGAGGAGTGCAGGAAAATAATAACGTGTGTGAGCAAAAAAGTTAGCTGTGATAATGTGAAACTATTTCGTCTTGGTAAGTTTCAAGCTGGGGCTCCTCCTCGTCCCATTAAAGTAGTAATGAAGTCTAAGAATGATGCTATTGAGATACTTCGTAACAAAACTAAACTGGATAAACCGTCAAATATTAAATCAGACCAAACTGCCATGCAACGCGAGTACTTAAAATACCTCTGTGATGAATTAGAGAATCGTACTAATAATGGAGAACAAGGCTTGACTATCAAGTATATACAAGGGCAGCCTAAAATTATCTGTAAACAGGAGATAAAAAACTAGTCCAAATTCACCAACCCTCACTAGTAAATCTTTTTAACAAAAAAAAACGCGATCTTCGATACCTTCCGCACTCTTAACAATAACAATCTTATACACAAACATACAATCGATAACATCTAAACTGGATTTATTCATTGCAAGAGTTGATCAACTAAAACCATCAATTATAGTCCTCTCAGAAACATGGCTAAAACCAAATAAACCTATCTCCTATATCTTATAGTCTGCGAACATGTTCAAGATCGTCCCCACCATTACATTAGATGCAGATGCAGACTGCAGACTTCCGGAAGTCTGCAGTCTGCGAACATGTTCAAGATCGTCCCCACCATTACATTAGATTTGATAAACCACAAATTCTCGCAAAAGAACACCTATTCCTACCAAGGATGATACGCGAGGCTATTGAAATTAAAAAACATCCAAATTTCAATAGAGAAGATGGTTGGGTGCTACCATCTGCTTGGGATCCTATAATCAACAAAATTAAACCCAAACCCAAGCATACCACTGCAAGACTTCATGATACTATAAGCTCGTTTTGCGTAAATCGGACCAAAAATTAATATTAAAAAACTGAAGGTAGCCGGACTAACTATGACATTGGGACGTCAAACATCTCAGTCCCCCCCGTGACCATGGGCGCTGTAAAGCACCCGAAACGTCGGGATAATAATAAAAATAAATTAAAGTAATTAAACGCGATAAAATCCGTAAATAATAGTTTTATTCAATGTAACAGGGTCAGATAAAATCTATAAGGAATACAGGAAGCTAAATAACAAACTGACTAATTTAAGGCGCACGGCAAGGGCAGTTTACGAAAATCAACTATTAGATCTAGGACCAAAGAAATTTTATTCGTACATCAGGCAGCAAATCACCTCTAAGTACACCAAACATTTTACGGAACAGTAATGGGCAATCTGTGACACGTTCTAAAGACATAGCGGAAGTATTTGCAACATTTTTCTAATGTATTTGAAAGAGAACCACTAAAAGAACTTCCTGTGCTTGACCCAAACCTAAGAGCAACTGAAGTTATAGAGGACATCATGTTCACAGAATCCAAAGTACAAGCTGCTATCAAAGAAATGAATATAGACTCTTCACCTGGCCCCGACGAAATACCCGTACATGTTTTAAAGAACTGCGGAATTGATAGTTACCTAGCATCAGTAATGCAAAAATCATACGACAAAGGAGTTTTGCCTTATTTATGGAAAACGGCTTTAGTGACTCCTGTTTACAAAAAGGGAAACAAATTAGATCCTGCAAATTATAGACCGATAAGCTTAACTAGTGTGGTGTGCAAAGTCATGGAAAAGATAATAGTTAAGCACATGAGACAGTTCCTTAACAAACAACAAACTATTGGTAAACAGCAACATGGTTTCTGTCCTCATAGATCAACGATTTCCAGCTTGATGTCTTGCTTATCATCCTGGGTCAACAGTCAAAATGATCGAGAACCAATAGATGTTATATATCTGGATTACGAAAAAGCTTTTGATAAAGTACCAATAGGCAGGCTTTTACATAAATTGGAATATGTTGGTATTCGAGGGAAACTGTTAACTTGGATTGAGAGTTTTCTACGACAAAGAACCTTCAGAGTAAGGATTAGCGATACATTGTCAGATGAAAAAGAAATACAAAGCGGTGTGCCACAAGGTTCTGTACTGGGACCGGTATTGTTTATACTGTTTACCTTTGATCTACCAAAAAGCTTGAGTTGTAATGTAAGTATGTTCGCTGATGACACGAAGATATTCGCAAACCCACTAGTGGACTTTGATCGCCTTCAAGCAGATCTAATTAAAATATCAGATTGGTAAAAAAGGTGGCTTATTAAATTAAATATAAATAAATGCACAGTCCTCCATATAGGAAACAGTAACCCTCGATTAATATATAAAATCGATGATATGCCTTTGGAAGAAGTTAAAGTACAAAAAGACTTAGGTGTGGATATAAGTAACGATTTAAAATGGAATCATCATATAACAGTTATAACTAAAAAGCAAATAGTTTTATTTACCTGATTAGAAAAGCCTTCGGACATCTTACACCAGAAATGATGCTAAAAATACATAAGGCATACATTCGACCTATTTTGGAGTATGCGTTCCAAATCTGGAGCCCCTATTTCAAAAAGGATATTGAGTTACTGGAGAAAGTTCAACGTAGATTTTCAAAGGTCCCTAGAGTATTGAAAAACATACCATATGAGGAAAGGTTGAATAAGCTTAAATTAACGACACTGAAGGATCGCAGAGAACGGGGAGAGTTGATCGAAGCATATAAAATTATACATGGACACTACGATCTGGAAAATTTTGACAGAGATTTATTCCAGTACTCAACAAACACACATCTTAGGGGACATCACTTCAAATTAACCAAAACCGTGTCACATAACAACCCACACAAGCACTTTTTTAGCCAAAGAGTGGTTGAAGCATGGAATAAACTGCCATCAGAAGTAATATCTGCACAAACTATTAACCAATTCAAGAACAGATTAGACAAACATCTAAAATAAGAATAATTACATATTTGAAAATAGGATACGGGCTTACATCAGTTGTTTCAACTGCTAGCCTGTTAAGTAATAATAATAATAAAAAAATATACCGGTCCCGACCGACTAAGTGTAGAAATTTCGAGTGTGGACTTTTCTAGAAAGCTTAATTCTTCTATTCGATACTAGATGGCGCTGTTGGGAGAGTTCTTGAAAGATCTTGACATTCCTATTTCTGATACTTGATACCAGATGGCGCTAGTGCTATCAACTGTGGCGCGAAAAAGCGCGCCACAGTATGGCACTAGCGCCTTAAAAGAGCGCCATCTAGTAAAAATAGAAGAATTAAGCTTTCTAGAAAAGCCCACTCTCGAACTTTCCGCACTTAGTCGGTCGGGACCGGTATTTGCTGGGACATTCTGGATGTTTCGGTGGAAAAGGTGTATTCAAAAGCCGCTGTAAACACGCGATCGGGCAGTATTGAATTTGGCGATACAAGCGAAGCTTCGGAGCGAAATAAAGTGAATCAATGTGATTAATTATTAGTGTCTTTTAAGTGTTAATTGGTGTTCGGTAATTAAAGTGTTAATTTTGGTAAATCAATCGGCAGTTTTTATTGTCACGAACCCTAAGCTCGTAACAATATAAAGGAGTATCAAATAACAATGTGTGTAGAACAAAATAAAATAATGAATAATCTAGGCTAGTAAAGGCAACGCCACGAGTGAAGAAAGTGCGCAGAAGTGTGAGGTACGGGGAAGCGAAACCATAGCAACGGGCGACGCGCTACTCCCAAGTAGTTTCTCCCTGCGTCCCGTCGCCCGCACACCTTCTTGTGTCGTCTTGTGTACTATCGATATCGAAAGTATTAGCGACTACCTGTTATAACATTTTAAATTTTTGCGAATATTTTTGTACTTTTAAAAATATTGTTCTATAATATTTTCAAATTGTGTGCAAATATTTATTACTTTATAAATTATTTTGGGACCATTTAAATATCGTAATTCGTAGTATATTGTATAAAGTTGTAAATATTTTGTTATTTTCTACAAGATGATTTTTTTTTGCAAATTATTGCATGTAAAATATCCTTATAATCGAAGGCTATCGCATAGTATAGTTTAAACAGCAATTACAAATACAATAATACAAATACAAAATATTTTATTTCTTTAACTAAGTGTATATAAAATGCAGAATATTATTTAGAAGCAGTTAAAACCTAACGATGATATATAAATATATCGTTCCGTTTTCGTGGAGACTTTGATGTGTAGTTATAATGTTGACCTTTGACTTTTTACATATTAAAATGCCAAAATAAAATTTTCATTTTTCTGCTTGATTGTACATGCGCAGTGGACTATTTTTAATTTCTTCTTTCGTGGCGCGACCTATACAATACGTTATTTGAATAATTAGTAGCAAAAACATTTTTCTTCTTATATACACTATAGACTGGAATGATAGTCATATGTTTGATTCCTTTAGCTTTGCAAGATCTACTTCTTCATTAATTCTTATTTGTGGGCTACCTTCCTTATTCCGCAAGTATATGTTTCCATAAGATGACCAACAGAAAGCATATCCATGTGTTTAAGCAAAGTTGCGAGCCAGGAAAAATAATCTTTTACCCTTGAAAGTGAGACTTTCAGAGATGAAAATAGGTACTGAAGGGCCATCAAATTTCAGAAGTGATGTGTTAAGTTTCTTTTCACTCGCAGATTTGTTATAAGTCTTAACAGATTTTAATACACTCTCCTTCTTAAGGACAGATACAAATTCGACCACGATAGGTTTAGTTCATAATCATGCAAGATTTTCACTAGCACTGCTCACGGCTGCATCTAGAATCTTCTGAAAGGGCTATGTTCAGTAGTAGTCTTTCGATAAGACTGTAATAATGATGATGCTGATGATTGATATATCTAATTTAACAAATAAAACAATTAAAATTCAAGGTCATACAGTTTATTAGAATGATTCAGCACACAACAAATAGGTAGATGTAATGTTTTGTCACTATTTGTATTTTTTTATTTCACTGACTAGACTTTTTAATTTAGGCATTTCTTCCTTAAGCTTATCTTCAATTTCGTTTTTGTCTTCTTCATTAGCCGTTAAATACTTAGAAACCAATTCTGAAACATAAATATGAAAAAAATATTTTCTAGTCAAAAAAATAGTCTACACATATTAGATAATCAGAACAACAAAAACGTACTAACACAATTTTGCCCTGAATTAAGGGTGGGCGTGGCCCCTAATTTGGGACGTCAGTTATTACACTACCCTGATTTTACGCCCTGATTCGTCATAGAGATGGACAAGTGAAAAAAGTATCGATAATTACTGTATCAATATATTGTCTCTACCATGTATAAAATTTAATGTCCAGCAGATTAGTGGAGTGCACTGCCACAAGGTCGCGTCGACTCTGCCCCGCAAGGCCCCCGCCGTTACTGTTTTTTTTATAGGATAGGGTGACAAACTAGCACGCAGTCCACCTGATGGTAAGTGGTTGCTGCGGCCCATAGACATCTACATCTATCCCCGATTACAAGTCAAAATGCAGATGCGTTGTCATCCGTGAGGACTAAGATGGAATGCCTCGTTTCCAGAAAAAAGGGTCTCCGGTTCTCTTCACTCACCATACGAAACACAGCAGCATTAAGCTACTATTTTACGCGGGTATTCTGTGAGAGCGTGGTCCTTCTCCGGTCGAGCTGATCCATTCGTGCTAAAACTATACTACTATATAACTGCAGCATGGCTCTACCACGTATAAAATACACTACGTAGAAATAGAGAATATATAGAGAATATAAGTACATTTGTATATTTTTTTATCTCTAAGTAGTGAGAGTATTGCCCGTCAGTCAGTGAGAGAGATCATATGGTGAGGTGAGACTGAACTTTGAGAAAATATTGGCATTTTATTCCTGCTAGCATTTACATATTATATATAACTGTTTTATTTTTCTTACCATGATACTGCTGTATTTGCGCAAAATCTTCTTCTTTCAGTTGGGCTTTCAAAAATAATATTATTGAGGGTACTTGACGTCCAGAAGCATGTAACATACTTTGGGTCACAATAGTAAATATTGCCAAAACAGCTATATGTAAAACTAATGCTGGATCATTACAATTCTCGAGCTCGGAGATTAATTTTTCTCGATGATTTTGTATTAAAAGTCTAGAAATGATACAAAATTCATATTATTATTTATTATTAGTAATATGCGGAAAAGTATAATACTTAGGTTGCTTGAATTATAATTCAAGTTATTTAGTGCCTGTCAATTAAATAATTATTTAACTGAATGACATATTATAATGAAATGAAATCTAAATGAAAGAGGAATATTATGTGTATTAGAGGATGCAAGTGAAAGCTTTTGAATGTGAAAAAGCTAAGAACTAGTACTGTTTGCATACATTGAACAGCATAGCGATTCTTAACATCTTTATAAAATTTAATTACGATCTTTGCAGAAAAACAGGCTTTCCATAGCTAAAAAAACATAGAAATCTAAAAGTTTTAATAATAAGAAAATATTATTGGCATAATACAGGCTTATTTCGCAATAATTGACCAAATTCGCAGAGAAGGTTCAGAATAAGCAATATAGGCGAAGAAAAATTAATTAAAAAGATCTCAAACATTGTCCTTTTTATTCTTTAAATTCAAAATATGTGGTAATGTATTATTTTAACTGATTTTACTGCGCACGCAAACATTTGTAAGGGTCAATCTGTAGACATAAACATTGTTGCCCATAAATCACATTCAAATTGGGATAATTTCAAATAAAAGTATGCCTTATTTACTCGTTTTTTCAAAAATTGCAATAACGATATATTACATTTATAAGTTTAAAATTTGGCTACTCTTTGATAAATAACCCCATATAATAAATATATTCAATACTTAAAAAGCATATCAAAACTTCGCATACCAAAGCAGCTGAAAGGAAGTTAGTTGTCCTTGAAGAGATGTGGGGATACTTCACAAAGGGACAATTGCTTACACCATATAAAGCGCAAATCAGCTTGTGCATGGAGTATTGCGTTCCGGAGATTACAACATCTCATCGGGCATACCTCAAAATCTAAAAACTAGATTGTACAAACTGTGCATGTTGCCACTGATGACCTATAGATCTGAAATGTGGTCCTTTCCCTTCTCTTCATAAGCTGAACATAGGACTCCCCCTGCATCCATCGACTTCCTGCACGTCTTACCAGGTCGTCACTCCATTTAGTAGGGGGTCGCCTACACTACGCCTACCAGTACGAGGCTGCCACTTGAGAACCTTTTATAAATCCAACGGTTGTCGGTTCTTCAAGCTTTATGGCCGGCCCATAGCCACTTCAACTTACTAATCCGTTGGGCTATGTCGGTCTCTCTGGTTCTACTGGGGATATCCTCATTTCTAAGTTTATCACGCAGAGAAACCCCGAGCATAGCCCATAGCTCACTGAGCGACCTTGAGCATCTTCATACAGCCAGCAGTGTATATACCATTTCGTATATACCAGATTTAAAATACCTAGACATGTGACAAGGTGATGGGGAATAGAGTCAAAGAAATCTGTTAGGTTCAAGTGTAGCATTTATAGCAACTTTTAACTACTATGGAAGAGATAAATGTTTACTAAATCTTAATGAGTGCTACAGCTTCCAAATTCATCTAATGTAATAATTACACAAAAATGGTATACAGCTCCAAAAGTAAAGTAAAGTTACAGCCTATATACGTCCCACTGCTGGGCACAGACCTCCCCTCATTTCTGAGAGGGTTTTATTGCAGGGAAGTGTCCACCGCGCTGACTAATGCGTGTTGGCGAATTTCACATGTCATCGAAATATATTTTTTCCTTATTCCTCAAGCATTCAGGTTTCCTCACGATGTTTTCCTTCACCGCCGAGCAAGTGGTAAATCAGCACTTAAAATTTCAATTAACAATTTCATTGGTGCCGGCGGGGATTGTACCCTGGTTACTCGCGTTCTGTTATATTTACAGCGAGCGTTAACCATCTGAGCTACCACATGGTATAGAGTTGTATTATGTTTTAATTTCTTTCAAACTGAATTTTGGTCATGGTGGCCTGTCTCCACGTAAACTAGCTATCACTGCAGTGTAGGTTTAGATTGAAGTGTGTGCAAACACAGGTGCACTCTATGTTCCCTCACTCTCAATGTCAGACTAACAGAGAGAGAGAGAAATAAAGCACAGGAACAATGGCTTAAAGTGCTTCCCCAGTCAAAGGTGTGAAACACAGCAGACTTCCTGACTTCAGACTGCTGTTTAGTATTTTTTGATAGAAAAACCCAACAACTGATTTCACCCAACCCAGGGTTCGAACTCGGAACCATATTATTAATAAACCAAACAGGCAGAATTGCATTTTAAGTTTCAGTTATTCAAAAACACAATGATGTCACTCAGCTTATGTTTATGACACATCATTTTTCTATAATATTATGATTATTCTAAAACAATAACAGTAATTGTCACTAATATACTAGCTTCAAAAACAAAACCAAACGAAATCGAATCTGAATTGCAAAAAAAAAGTTTTAATTTAAATTTGAGTAACAATTCAACTTAAGTTTTGTAAGTATATATTTTTTACATATTAAAACAAATTATTATGTCCAACATTCACAGCTGTGTTACTTAGAAAGTTTTATGAATGTATTCATTCATTGCACATGTATAAGACAAAAACAATAGATTAAAAACCTCGAACCCGAACATTCATTTTGGATTTTATTGCTATTCTTTCGGGGAATTCCAATTAAGATGTCATTATATTTACTAACTATATGACTTACGGAGTCTCCTTTTTGAAATTTGAGTTATAGAGTATAAATATGTATTTATACTCTAAATATATATATATATATATATATATATATATATATATATATAATACATCCCGTAACTTATTGTACGTCCACTATGGCCAATTTTGCATATAATGTGGCGTCAACCTGCTTACGACGTCCAATATACGGACGTTAGACTTAGCGCAATGTTCGCAAATTGTCATGCTGATCACAGAAATGTCAAAATCTAAAAAAAAAATTGGACGTCATTTTTCTTCCAATCTTGCTGTACTGAATATTTACGTAGTTCCGCTAATTTTCATTACAAAAATAATAGCGCTGCTGTCGATTTGTGAATACTTTCATTTATGGCCGTATTTGACTTCCCCACAAAATTAGGAGATGCGACGTTGCCGTTCCGTCACCGTTGCCAACGTGTTACTTGTATTTGGTGATATATGGTAATGACTGCCTCGTTGGTCTAGTGGTTGTAGTAGTGCGACTGCTGATCGTGAGGTCCTGGGTTTGAATCCCGGGTCGGGCCAAAAAATCAATTATTGAATTTTTCTGTCAATAAATTCTCGGTTGGTTGGAAGTTGTCGGTGTATCACCCCCGTGACTCGGAAAGCACGTAAAGCCGTTGGTCCTACGCCTGATCTCTCTCAGGTCGTGTCGGTTTACCGTTCCATCGGATTATGAGAATGAGGGAATAGAGAGTGCACCTGTGGTTGCGCATACACTTGGGCACTATAATCCTGTCCTGCGCCGATGGCTAGTCTCCGTTGAGGCAGACCGCCGTGACAGTAATTCGGTCTGCAGGGCATTATTATATGGTTTATACTGCGCTTGATACTGGTAATTCTTTTACTTGTTTTCTTAATCTTACATTTAACTACACATAATATGGACGTTCTAATATCCTAAAACTTTCATACTGAATGATATTTGACACCCGTATTTTTGAATTTAGTTATATTTTTATAAATGTAGAGTTATATTTTTTATAAATGTAGATGCGGACGTCGGCTTATCGGTTTATTTCATGCTGCACTATATTTTAACATTTTACATTTGGTACTAATCTGCCTAAAAGAACTCTTGTTAGGTATTTCGTAAGCAACCCATAATTCTGTTTGAGTATAAGTTACCTTCTGATTGAGTACAGGAAGATGGACTCAATTGTAGTTATTGACAGGTTTCATAGAAGTTTGTTTTATTATATTGTGACTAATAAATAACCTCTGACTAATAACCTAATATCGTCTGGCGAAGAAACTCATTATATAATATAAGGTTGCATTAACTGCCAATAGGTTGTTAATTTCTACAATAGATCGTGGCATATTGTTGCTGACGTAACTCCTAATAATTCATTTACTTGATCGTGTTGAGTTTTGGTGCTCTCACTGAGGATGAGTGCGACTATCGTACCTAATCTGTAGGAAATTACTCTCTAGCTCTCTACTTAACTAGATTCATTTTCGTGAAAGGCATGATATTATTTTGCTATTTTTAAAACTTCACGTACATCAAAGTTTTATAAAAAAAAGTGACATTTAACCTCCCTACACTAAAATAAACTGCAAAAATATCATAACTATCATAATGTGTGTCTTATACAAGGAATTAAAATAAAAATATTCATGGTTATATGACGTCAATTTCGGTATTAAACATTACCGATAATCTGACGTCCACATATAGAAATATAACAAAATTCAAAAATATGGACGTCAAATATCATTCAGTATGAATATTTTTGGATTTTTGGACGCCCATATTAATTATTATAAATGTAGCTAAATCTAAGGACACGAAAACAAATTGGAAAGTAAAATTATCTCCTAGCACTGAGTACAGTATAAACCGACAAAAATACCAAAATATGCCTTGAGCATTAAATAAATACCGTAAAACGGGGTTACTTTGCGAACTGGGGTAACTTTGATGATAGCTAAACTTGGTAAGTTTTTTCGGATTTAATGCGTGATACTGAACGCAACCAAAATTTTGTTTGTTCTGTTGGCCAGACTGACATGTCAGCCATATTTTGCCGAACCGTCGACTATTAGCTGTTGTCAGAAGCAAATAAAAATAATTGTTAAACTTTAGTGTAAAATAGCATTAAAAAATTTGTGTGAATAACTTCAGTGGCACAACCGTAAGTATTATTGTTTGGTTTTTAGTGTTTCACTGTTTTAATTGTACGTTTCTTTAAGATTAAGAACATGTTTGCATTTTTTGTTTACGGCCGCCATTTTATTTTCCATGAACACTTTGGTTTACCGGGGTTACATTGATAGAGTATACGAGGCGACTTTGATAGTTATCAATTTAACCTCTATTTCTTGTTTTGTTTTAGCTGCCTCATGGTTCGCATGTATAAAAAGACAGCGGGTACCCGCAATTACAAAAATTATACAGAGGAGATAATGGAAGAAGCAATAGAGAAAATCACCAACGACGAATTGTCTATTAAAATGCTGCTTCACTTCAATATAAAATTCCGTATGGAACACTTTATAATAAATATAAAGGATTACACGGAAAAACGCCTGGTGGCCAACCTGTTTTCACGCATCAAGAGGAATTAGCAATTTTACGAGCTGCGGCTACATGTGGTGATTGGGGGTTTCCTCTTACATTGGTTGACCTTCGAATGTTCGCTAAGGCTCATTTAGATCGACAGGGAAAGATTATAGAACGGTTTTCAAATAACCTGCCTGGTGTCGAATGGGCCATTAGTGTCCTGAAACGTCATAAGCACTCCTATGGTCAAAGACTATCCACTAATATCAAAAGGTCCAGAGCGACTGTCGGCCGGGAGTCATTAAATAAGTATTTCGACAACCTTCACTCTGAGATAGAAAATGTACCACCGTCCAATATATTCAACTATGACGAATCAAATATGGCAGACGATCCTGGCAAAAAAAAATGTGTATATAGAAGAGGAGTAAAATACCCTGAGAAAGTAATGAACTATTCGAAGAGTTCTACTACAGTTATGATTTGTGGTTCTGCAGACGGCACATTATTGCCGCCATATATAATATACAAAAGTACTCACCTGTACGATACATGGCAAGAGAGCGGTATTGTAGGTAAACCATGCTGTGAAAAGCCATGCTGTAGCCGGGGATGTCGGTATAATAGAACAACTAGTGGATGGATAGACACACCAACATTTAGGGTGGTTCATGACTTGTTTTTTGCCTCATGCCAAAAGACTAGACGTGAATAAGGTGTTGATAGGTGATAATCTATCGTCTCACATTGACAACGATGTATTAGGTGCATGTGAAATAAATAACATCAGTTTTATATGTTTGGTGCCAAATTCAACCCATCTAACCCAGCCACTCGATGTCGGCTTCTTTCGTCCTTTAAAGATTGCATGGCGACAAACGCTTGAAGACTGGAAAAAAGCCAATTTACGAACTATATCTATACCTAAGGAGTCCTTCCCACATCTGTTGAAAAAGACAATAATTAATATGGACCAAAAGCCACCAAAAAATGATAAAGTGGCTTGCACAGAATTGTCAGCTGTGAAAAGAAATTTGGTGAGCAGTTTTAGGGCTACTGGTATCTCTCCTTTTGATAGGAACAGGGTGTTAAATAAATTGCCACCTGAGTCGCCTTCTCCTGAAATCGAAACTGGCGTTCGAGATTCCTTAACAGAGTTTTTAAGAGAACAAAGATTTAGGAATGAATCACAGCCACCAAGGAAGAGGACCAGACTACAAATTGAACCTGGTAAAAGTATATCGACACTTAATGAAACATCTTGCCCCACAAATCAAGAAGTTGATGTAGTTGAAGTCCAACACACCTCAGAGCGAAATGATAATCCCGTACAAACTAAATCAATATCGATGCAAATTCCTCTTTCTGTTATCAGCGAACCATCCACAAGCTATAGAACTGGTTACGAGGACACCAATGATAATCTTACCGATTGTAAGTCTCATAATGAAAATATAGCACCGAATTATACTAGAAATACCTCAACAGATTTGGCACAAAATCCCGCAATAGGGCAGTTTATTTTAGCAAAGTTTTGATCACAAAAGGGAAAAAAGACATATCATTATGTATGTTCTATTGAAGATATCATTGACACTAAACTTGTTGTTCAAGGTTATAAGTCCCAAAAAAAACCAAAAGTATTTTTAAGGAAGTTCCTAAAGATTTATCAATTATTGAAATTAGTGACATTATTACTTACCTGCCTAAACCGAAATATATCAATGAATGCTACTCGTTCCCCAATGATGTGATGATCAAAGAATTGTAGATTTTATTATCTATATTTAACTAACCTTTTGAAAACATTTAACATGTTGATTTTTAAATTTTTATTTTATAAAATAGGTTTATATAATTATAAGACTGTTGTTTTAAGTGATAAAAATTATGCATGTCGAAAGTAAATGTTTAGACTGATTAATGTTAGGTTACTGTTACTTAATTTTCTTAAATAATAATAAAAAATATTCGGCTTATCTCGGTTGTTTACACTGTAATATACCCACATATAAAATTCACCCCTTGACTCAAAGTAGCCCCAAAATTTTTCAAAACGCAATATTTTCTAAACCATAGCTTCTAAATTATTTTTTCTTATTGATTTTTGTCATGTATTGTGGTGACTCTGCGATGAATTAAAAATGAGTACCATATCAAAGTAGCCCCATTTTCAATAAAACTTTGATAAGCAGGTTTTTATGTTTTTTTCTAAATAATTATTTACAAATTTATATTTTTTGTTGTAATAATTAATTTGCATGGTGAGTCTTCACCACAGTATTTTTTTAACATTTTATCGTTTAAATTGCAAGCGTGGGATGCATTTGAAGTTTAAAATTAATCAATGTCAGTCCGTTTTACCGTAGTCAACATAAAAAAATAGTAAAATGCAATAATCAACAACTACTTTGGACATCGGATATCGAAGATGTGGACGTCAAATAAAACTTAGTGTGAATATTTTAGGATATTCTTACATACGTATATGGGTAAATACTCCATTCAATGTCCATGTCAAGTACACAAGTTTATTTACCTAAGTTTCTAAATATAACCAAAGAAACTTAAATGTAAGCAAGCATAAGCGTGGAAAGTTCTCAATGTGCATAGGTCACAATACGGACGTCAATTAGAGCACAATATGCATGTTTTTAGTAATATAGCGTCCAATATTTATAACAACAACACAAACAAATTGTATTTCAACTAACGGCAAAACCAAACATAATATATCATAATTTATCAAAAATAGTCTTTCACAAAAATTAGTCTAGTTAAGTAGAGAGTAATTTTGTACAGATTGGATAAATAGTTCGCACTCATCCATAAGATAGTGATCATAAAAAGTAAACTCGCAGTGAGAGCACTAAAACTCAATATGATCAAGTAAGTAAACAATATTTTCGGAGTTATTCATGTCAGCAACAATACGCCACGGTCTGTTGTAGAAATTAACAACCCATTGGCAGGTTATGCAGTAAAACCTTATATTAAAATGAGTTTCTTCCCAAGGTCATATTAGGTTATTAGTCACAATATAAGAAAATTAACTTCTGTTAAACCTGTCAATATCTACAATTAGTACTTATTTACAATAGTAAAATAAATAATAATATAGTCAATTTATAATGTATCACGGTTGGGCAATCCTAGATATTTTTTCGTGTTTAGTAAATGAATAACTAGTTGGTAAATTAATCATGATGTTTTTTTTCGCCGGAGACAAAAATGCTATTGCGTATTTTTCGTAACTGCACATTCTGTGGATTTATTTCATTATTTTGAACAATATACGAAACTTAAGTGACTAAAATTAAATCTAATCTGAACCAGAATCATAAAAACTAATAAAGATCTGTTATTTTTGTCTCCTGCGAAAAAAACAGACTATAGGAATCTATCGAATACCTACATAAATAAAATAGCACCTATAAATAAAATATTACAAAGCAGAATAACTAATAAGAGTGGCAACATCGCACCATACAAAGGAATTGCGTTAAGCAGGGGAATGAATTAAAAACTATGTATATTACAGGGATTCTGGATAATTTGTAACATGGAAGGGAGTCCTGATCGGTTTCCCTCCGTCTGGCAATATTTGTATATCGACATATGATAAATTTTCAAAGAAATGAGTTAAACACTATCTTTGAAATTGTTTAATGGACCAATATTCGCTGTCATAATGTATAAAAATTGCCTACAAGTGGTGGACGCTACAATAATGCGAAATGAAAGGACGTAGAATCAATATTGTGATGTATATATATATATCATTATCAATACTTCATAGAAAAATAACATTTTGTTCGAGCTACATTGTCTAAATAATTCGAGATACCGCCTTAGGGGTTCAGTGGAAGGGAATAGCAATTTTTTTCGACTTAACAAGGTTCGAGTTATAGATTCCACTGTAGACATTACATTTTCTAAAATTTGTAAAGAAAATAAAAAATATACACTTACTTATCCTTTTTCTTATCTACTTTCTTCAAGATCATGCCACATACTGACAGACAGGCATCAACAGCTTGATAAAATAAATCCATATTCTGATCAGACAAAGTAGCATTTAAGGCTCTCAGTGGCTTCATATATTCATCTGATAAATCATTTATAATTTTATTTCTTTGCTCCACTGATAGAATGTCAACTTGGATTGATAAGTTACATTGATTTCCAGCATATTTACAAAATTCAGATAAAGTGTCACCCCCGAAAGTTTTTAAAAGGTATTTGATATACTGTGGCTGTTGATCAGTGGGTAATACTTTGAGGCCTTTTTCATACAATTTAATATCATTCACAAGTACATTTATTCTCTCTTGAGCTGATGAATGTGTTTGTTTTCTATTTTGATTTGCATCTTGAAGTAGCTTATCAGCCATTTCTTTGGCCACTGCTAAAGCTGCTTGGTTCAAAGAGCTGAAAATGTAATAATGATTACACAAAAAACATCTAAGTCTCATAAAAGTTAAAAGTTATATTTAATAAATTTTATTTATAATTATGAGTTAAAATTAAATGTATAAAAATATGACAACTGATAGTTAAAAAGAATACATAATCTTGTGAGAATGGTTGTATAGTTGAATGGAGGTGAGACGACTATCATACATCTGATTCTGCAATCATCAATATGGCCGATAATTCTTACAATGGAAGATGCTTATGTCCAGCAGTGGAATGTACACACTAAGAGAAGCAGAAGCAACAAATTATGAAGAGAAAATTGCTTACGGGAATGGATCAAATACGAGTGCAATCAAAAGAGCCGCCTTAGATGGAGATTGAGTTTCCTGACATTTTAAACATTAACATGATACATAAGATGATACTTGGAATACATATTTGTCATAAGGTGGTAGTACTCCTTTCCTCACCTGTTTTTACCACCAAGCAGCAGTGCATGCATTGCTGTGTTCAGATCGGAAGAATAAAGGTAAGCAGTATAATTACATTCTGTGAGGCATTCCAACTTAATTAACAGAGATGATCTTGAGCATTTTGGTTTGAAGTTAGTTGCAGTTGGTTAATGTGCTGTAGTAGCCACCTACCATCGTCCGTTGGGCTGTAAGCTAAATGAAGTAACTAAGTAATGAGATGTTGGAGTCACCTGACTATGTACAAACACTGAGGTAATGTCTTATTCTAACCTACATGTACCTACTGTCTGCGTAAATGTTTGGCTCCAGCTAGGATTATCACCCAGTAACCTCAGCTTAGTAATGTGACCACCAGACCATGCAGTTGTGCATTAATTTGTGTATAGAAAGATTTTGCTACATGAATTTATAAAAATACACACCCTTGTAAATACTCTGCAATTTGGGTTAGTAAATCATCTAAACCTTCATTTTCCAAAGTTCCCTTTATAATATTTTCAACATCTTCAACAGTGACTATTTCTAATTGACTAGGACCTTTTTTTCCAACGTTATACTGTTCATCAGAATCTGACTCATGAGTTGTTTGCTTTGATCTCTGGTGCTTCTTCACTGCTTTCGTTTTGGTTTCCCGACCCTGTGTTCCTCCACCACCTTTACCAGATGCAGCTTTTCTTCTACGTTCTTCACGTCTTTCAGCCTTATGATCAATATGAGTCGGTGTCACAAAATCTGATGTCTTTGCTAATTGCTTCTCAAGATAAAATTGTTGATATTTTCCCGATTTTACAACAGCTTCAGCATGCTTTTGGGCCATAGACATACAGGAGTTTTTTAAATTTTCAATAAAATGATTGCTGAAAACTAATAGAAGAAAACACATATGAGTTGTAATTAGAAATTTATAAAAATAGGTACTGCTTTAGCATTATGTGGCACAAGGAGTAACTGGAGTGACACTCTATCTATACTATCCCACTGCAGAAAGTAAGTTTTTTATTTGCTATTAAGACTAAAATTATCAGTGAGGTGGTGCTGCATAATTCTGAAGCCAACCCTAAAAATGTTTTGTGTAACTAAATTTACAACATTATAATTTCAAGAAACATCAAATTTGTAACAAAAATCTTACACATAAAATCTTAAAACTTGGAAAAAGTAAACATTACCATACATATTGAAAAAAAAAAAACATTATAAAATATGAATCATGATTATGTACCTGTATTATCAAATAAAATGGTTGATTTAGCAGATAATTTAAGCAAAGTTTCAAGCACATTTTCAATATCTGTTTCAGATAATATGGATGGCAATAATGAAACAACATCTAAGTAACTCTTTGATGCTATGCACTCTTCTAGAGCAGTTTCCAAATGCTGTTTTATTTGTGACCCTATTACACAACTACTAAGAAAAGTCAAATCTTCATTTGGTAAAACTCTTTTTACATAACCTTTAGGGTCTGATATTCCTAAGCGAGTTAAAGCATCATATTCAAGATAATTATTTTGCTTGTAAAAGCTCATCACCCAGTCATTTTGTGATTTAGTATAGCAAGATGGAACATAAAGCGCTCCTGTTTGACGGCCAGTAAGAACACCTGGTGCATTTACTTGATCAAATAATGACATAAATAATCTCTCAGGTAAGTTGCAAGAACTTAAAATCACATTTATTGGAGTTGGTTTCAAAAGACCCATTAAGGCTCCGTGAATTTTAGCTTTTATTCTATTTATATATTGTTCCGTGTAAAATGTTCTTGGTTCTGAAGTATCCTGTCTGCCAACAATTATTTTTCCTAAATATCGCTCCAAAACACTGTGCTGCAAGAGCTCAGCAGGAAGATCATATTGCAGAGTTAATTCACCTACAGATATTTGGCCTTGTAATTGCAGTTTTTCATTAATTTCTCTTGCAATCTTTTCTAAATAGTAATGTGCTATTAAATACCCGGAAACTAATTGAACCTCTTTTCCTTTTATAATTTCACCAATATTTGCATTAATCTGACTTAAATCAACATTTAATTCCTTCGCTAAATCTACAGTATTAATACGTCCACCGTGAACATACAGTTCATCTTTTATTTCTCTCACAAGCTGTTGAGGTGTCAAATACTCTTTACCATCAGTAGTAAAAATTACATCAATAAGTTTAAGTTCAATTAATTTTGTGACAATCTCAACACAATTTCGCTCCGACAATCTGCGTGGAAAAAAGTAGTTACATGTACAAATTCCTTTAAACAATAATTACGACAGTTAAAATATACAAATATTTACCTTTGAGAGGTAGAGCTTAACTGAGCTTTTTGGAAATCTGCTGCAAGCCTTTTTATTTCATCCCAATCCGTAGAAGGAGCCATTCTAGAAAATAAAGTATTAGTAACAATGATAAATGTGCGGAATAATGCGCCTCATATGATAGGAATCATATCTTTTACTACTTGAAACTTTTGTGTTGTTAGTAAAATATATTATAATATTGTTATCTTTGAGTAAAATGAAATTAAATGAAATGTAATAAAAGTAACGTAAAAGTAAAACGTCACAAATAGAAATTCCACCATAGATAAATAAATACGTAGAATTCCACGTCTGTCAAATAGTAAATAGATTGCATAGATTACTGAATATGTTATATGATTGTCATCTATGACGTGATGACGTCTGTCGTGTACCACAAACTAATAAGAAGTTAAGAAGCATAGATAAATAAATAAATATGTAGCAAGCTATTTCGGCTCTGTACCTACGGCCTGACCTGTAGACAGAGAAACCTATATACTAATGATTAGCGTGGCCTCGAATGAGAAAGGACGATAACGTAGTTTTAGGTTATACAATAATCTTTATGACTTTTAAACATATTTAGATAAAAATTTTAATTGTTCTAAGAACTGAACTGAACAAGATTCACCAATCTTAAGCTCACAAAACACTTTTTTCTCACTTAAACCAACTTGTAAACTCCTTATATCGATACGAACTGTCAAAGTTGTTTAGCAAAGTGCAGTTTGCTAAACAAAAAAACCGGCACGGAGAAAGGGATAAACGATAACACGGCTCTGTCTCGTTTCTATGCAAGACCTATGCATAAATCTATCTTTTTTGTGTGTGAATGCGAAAGATAGCGTCAATTTGTCTATAGGTTTCTCACGTTAACGTATCAGCACGTATCAGCGCTCTCGGCCAGAAAGTATTAAATTTCTTGCGTATCAGTGTGTCAGTGCTGCCAGATGCCTTGAACCTTTTATCTGTATTAGAAACTGGTAAAATCTGTATTCAATCTGTATGCTATTTAAACTTAAAATCCGTATAATATAATAAACCAAAATAGAATAATTGATCATCATCATTGCTTCTTTTGAAAAACAAGGAAAACTAACGTGATAATCTGATAAAGTTTGATTATCGTTATTAAATAAAAATATTTTTTTTATAGAATAAGGGTGACGAACGAGCACACAGTACACCGATGATAAGTGGATGCTGTGGCCCATAAACATCTACATTTATCCTCCTTAAGAATCAAAACGCAGATGCGTTGTCACGCCTGAGGACTAAGATGGCATACCTCGTTTCCAGTAAAAAAGGGTCTCCGGATTTCTACACTCACCATACGAAGCACAGCAGTATTAAGCTGGTATTTTACGCGGGTATTCTGTGAGAGCGTGGTCCTTACCCGGTCGAGCTGACTCATTCGTGCTGCAACCATAATATAGCTGTAGCGTGGCTCTACCAAGTATAAAATATACACTATACACTAAATTTTTTATATAACAAAATTGAAAACATTAATTAAAGCAAACAACGTATTAAAACTCAAACATTTGCAACAAGAGAAGATATAATTACTTTATTATTTTCAGTCATACATATTTTATATATATATACATATTTTATAATACACTTGTAATTCTGCCATACTAACTAATTATGTTGCAAAAAAATAAATTAACCCTAAAGATTAGAATCATGCAATGTGTGTAACGCGGTACCTAGTTACTTATTTTGCTTCGTTCTGTTTTAAGTTGAATATTATTGTAAACCAATCAATAGAGTTGGAAAACGCTTTATAAAAATCTGTATCTGTAATCTGTATCTGTATAAATATGGAAAGGTATACACTGCAGTGTGTATACCTTTAAGTATTCAACCAACTGGAGAGTGATCTATCAAAATGTTCGGAGCAAATAGTGCTAGTCCGTTTGGGTATCCAAGATTCATGATTACTACAAGCTGCAATCAAAGTCTGCCGCTTAAGAGGATCTTTTGAAAATATGTAAAATCAATCCTTGTGCACAGGTTTGAGGATATAAGTATAGGGGGTACTTACTTAGATTTATTTAAAGATATCTATTTTAAGGATCACAAGCAGAAAGTAAAGATAGGTGAATACTTAAGCGATGAATCAGATATGTCCTACTTTATTTTTAATCTACATAAATAATCTCACCAACATGGATATTAACGAGGGCAACATAATCTCCTATGCAGATGATACTGCAGTAATTTTTTTATATAGGAGAGGTGGCAAACGAGCATACGGTTCACCTGATTTTAAGGGACTACCGCCGCCCATGAACAACTGCAACACTAGGGGAATTGCTGGTGCGTTACCGGCCTTTTAGAAAGAAGTATGCTCTTCTCTTGAAGGTCCCTATGTCGTATCGATCCAGAAAAATCGCCGGTGGTAAACTATTCGACAGAGAGGTCGTACGCGGAAGAAAACTCGTAGTGAAATGTACAGTGGTGGGCCGCCAAGCATCCAGATGGTGTGGATGATATCGGAAGGTTTCCCGCATAGTGCGTTCATGAAATTTAGCGGCTGGGATTAATCCGAACAATTCCTCAGAGCACTCCCCGTGGTAGATGCGAAAGAAAATACAAAGAGATGTAACCTCTCTTCGCGGCTCCAGTGAGTCGAGCCGATCGGAAAGCACTCGATCTTCGACGATTCGAGTCGCTGCGCTTGATGCGGTCAAGTGGAAGGAGCTGGCACTGGGGAGCCCCAGTCCAGAGATGAGAATAGTATTCCATGTGAGGTCAAACCTGCGCCTTGTAAAGTTGCAGGCGGTGAGTCGGCATGAAATACTATTCCGTTCTGCTGAGCACGCCAAGTTTTTTAGAGGCTAATTTGGCCTTCTCTTCCAAGTGACCAAGAAACTGCACATCACTCGATATGTCAACGCCAAGGATTCCGATACTGGCTGAGGCAACAAAGGTTCTTTTTAGCGGTTAACTTGTGTCTTCTGAGGGTTAAAGTGAACTAGATTTAGTCGCCCTCAATACGAGACTTTGTTCAGCAAAGACTCGACTTCAGACACGAGTTTGTCCCGTACTCGGAGACGTTTTCCCGAGGAATATTGTCACGGTCAGTGTACAGAGTATCACCAGTGCTGTCATCCGCATAGCAATTAATGTTACCGGTTTGCAATATATCATTGATATGCAGAAGAAACAGCGTTGGTGATAGCATGCAGCCTTGTGGCCAGCATTAACAGGCTTGTAATTGGAGCATGCACCGTCTAAAACGACCATGATGATCCGATCTGCAAGAAAGCTGGTGATCCAATTGCACAATTTCTCGGGAAGCCCATAGGAAGGGAGCTTCAAAAGAAGCGCTTTGTTTTACTGGTGACTTCTGGGATTCTGTTAGTAGATCTGCTGAAGAAGGCCTTGCTAGGATCGCTAAGTGCGGAACACTAACCTACTTACTTTAAATACTTTCAAAACTAGTTAAGTAAATGTTTTACATATTATATTCGAACTCAGCCTTATATTAATTTCCAAATTAAACTTCACATATGCTGTGACCCCTTAAGTAGTAGTTGCAGTTGTTTATTAAAATAGTAAGTTCTCTGAGATCAAGTATTTAGGAGTCATAGTTGATCAATATTTGTCATAGCATAGACACATTAAATTAATCATGAATAGACTTAGGAAACTTACATGGATATGTAAAACACTAAGACGAAAAAGTTACTCTTCCAAATATGTATTGCATTGGCTCAATCTATCTTAGTATATTGTATTCCTGTATGGGGTGGAGCTACAAAACTCAAATTTCTAGAAGTTAAAAAGGCACAGAGAAATTCACTAAAAAGTATGCATTTTTAACCAAAAAGATTCCCTACAGAAGATCTTTATGCTATAAGTAATGTAATGTAATGTACTGTTAGAAAACTGTACATCTTATATTCAGTTCTGAAACTGCATAAAGGTACATATAAAGTTTAACCGTTATATTGTAGCCAAAAGAATAAAAACCGTAGTGGCTACAGCTATTGCTGTTGTGTTTTAGCTGGGAGGTAATAAAACAGTCAGCGACTCTATACAACGCCATTAATAAAAGCATAGAAATTCATCACCTTAACTACCATAATTGCAAATATGTTCTAACCAAATGGCTATTTCATAAGAGCTATGATGATACTGAGGCTCTTTTAAGCAATGTGAAATAATGTAATGTAAAAGGAATATAAAGGTGCGCGCGCGCACCTGTCTGTGAATTATCAATATTTGTTACTTCTACAATATTTAGTATCGTATTTCTTAGATATCAATCTAGCAATCCAATCTAGGACAGGGCCTCGAAACCCCAAGTTATCAAGTTTTTGTAAGAGTATTTTGTGGGATACAAAGTCAAAAGGCCTTCGACATATCAAAAAAGATCGCTGTAACTCTTAGCTTATTATTTATAGCCTTAACAATTGCGTCAACAAGATCATATCCAGCAAGGCTTGTAGATTTATTATTTTGAAATCCATATTCCTCATTTTTAATTATATTTCGTCGTAAAGTCTACAATACGTTTAGCCATTGCCTTTTCAAATATTTTAGATAAAACTGAGACTATACTAATCGGTCTATAATCATTTAAATTTTTTTGTATCGGCTTATTAAAGACTTTTTTAAGATAGTAGGAAAAGTAGTTATTTAAATGACAGGTTTATTAGGTAAGTTAATACTCTACCTAAAACCGTACAACAACTTTTAATAACATCCGTTGAAATGCCATCAAAACCTTCCGACTTCGTATTATTTACTATACATTATTTAATAAATGTCTAAATACATGCTATTATGTACCCTTAGACTATTAGTGTTTTGGCACTGATTATTGTTATTATAGATATTTGTTGATTCAATAAAGTGTTTGTTGAAAGCTTCAGCAATTTGTTGACGATCTATCAAAAATTGTTACTTATACAAACTTTTTTAATTAAATTATTATTTATGCAACAAGTCTGATTTTTTATGATATTCCAAGAAGCACGACATCTATTTTTGATTGCTCAATAAATTTATCATTATTAAGTTTTCGCGATTGATTTATACAACGTCTTAGTACAATGGAATA